TGGCTTTTAGAACAGTAGAGGATGAAAAAGCATGATATGAGAGTTGAAATGAAGAGTGGCATCTGAGGATAAATAGATAAAAGAAGTGTGGAAATTATATCGTACCATCACTAAAATTTGGCAAAAACAAAGGGGCAATATTGCAAGAACCATGATTAAACATAGCCTGGATATACTGATCGGAAACAGACTGATAAACAGACCACCGATCCATGGCCAAAAAATTTGCATTAAGCACTATTTAACAGCGTTGCAGACAGAAACTACCGGAACACATTGCAACTCAAACTAAAATGAGCTTGAAGAATTATAAACTCTCAGCCCTCCTACCTGCTAGATGTCCACATACACAATCAAGATTACAGTTTGACAAATGCGTACGGCCTCAAATTCTAACACCTCAAACCCATATTTCATTTTAAACTATGTAGCAAAATATTTCTCAATATAGTAATTTGTACCATAGTTAATATTTTCTTCCCCTCTCTCCGATGATCAATATTCCCCTAGGTGTTAAGACATTGTGAATCACAGTTATGGATGTTTTTGGATAGAATGGTGCCATGTTTTGCTACATTTTTGGGGTGGACCCTACATTTAGAAGTTTTAATATGTACCAATCTGCTATCAATGGAACATCGTATCACTTATGGTTGTAAGAGGCTACATGAACAACTGACTTGAAAACAAGTGCACAAATAACTCAGATGATTAAAAAGCAATTCGTTTATTTGCATCTTCCATTCTCAATCTTCAGCCTTTCTCCTTCTTCTCTACTTAATGCCTTTGTATCTATTTTTGAAAGACTGGGTAGGGGTTGGTATGTTCCTTGCCCCAGCGTCAAAAATTCATCCCCCAGATCGTACTAAAAAAATGTCAATATAACATTATTCAATTTAAGGTAGGCAAACGCAGAAAATTCAAAACCTAGGTTACAGATAAAAGTACTAGAGCAAAAACACTGAACTGTCCCAAAAAACCCTTACAGATAAAAAGGAACACCAGCATTCAATAGATAAATAAATGGATTCTACAAACACCCCCTCTAATTAGCCCCCATTGCAACGCATATCTCGCAGCAAAAAAAGCAAAATCCCAAAAATAATCACTTTGACCAGAATTAGCAGCACATGTCAGCATGTTGCAAACCAAATAGTGGCATAGAAAGAAAGTGAGTGGCACAAAATAGTAACGTCCTCCTTCAAGGAAAGGGAAGCAAATAAAAGCCCGAAATTGTTAAGATATGCCTTGACAAAATCAGAATAGCCTGTGTTTCTTTTTCTAACATCTTTCCACGAAAGAAGGACAAAAAGAACAAAAGGGCACCAAAATAAGTAACAACGAGAAGTACAGGGGTTTTTTAAAAAAATCAGAGACAAAGAAAACTAACCCACGGAAGATGAAATGTCAGTCTGCTTAACCTGGTCCTTCTTGAGGCGTTTAAGACAATGAGCAGCAATCCATATGGTGCCTAAAGGCCCTTCTTTGACAGTAGACATTGTGAGTTAAACATGTTCTTTTCGTACTTACCTATCCTTGCTTTTGCCCAAGAGGGTGCTGTGCATAGGTACAGATAGAAGAAGAGAAATTGCCTGTGAAACTTGCTAAACCATATATATAAAAAAGAAGAGTGCAGAATGGGTGCAGTGTAGTATGGCGAGAGAGCTTGTGAGAGTTTTTAAAGAGGGCAGAGTTGGAGAAGAAACGGTCGAGCCAGATGGTGTGCCATGGAAGTCTCTAAATTTGTCATTTTTTAAAAAAATTTATAAATTTTTGGCTACTAGCGGAGCAGCACCATTGAAACTAAAAATCACAATAATGACAATAATGGCCTTAAACTTTGAGTTGATTTTCCTTTTTTTTTTTATTCTTTTGGGAAGGGCCCGGGTGTCCGGATGTCACAGTGTAATGACCTTGATATTCGGAAGGGGTGCCTAATCTCCTATAATCAAGAAATTTCCATGTTGGTTAAAAATAAACAAGAAAGTGTATGAGAATATAATCAAGTAATTTCCATGTTGGTTAAAAATAAACAAGTAACTGTATAAGAATACAATGTATATTTTCTTTCTCTTTTAAATACTGCATGGTAGTAATTGTTATTGGATGGAATTACAAGCAGTGAGTATGGTTAAAAATAAATTAAGTTTACAAAAATATAATGGTGATAACGTATACACTGTCATTAACCCAATGGTGATAGTAATTGTTACACTGTATAAGTTTACAAGTAGATAGTAATTATTATTGAATTTGAAATTAAACTTTTGCACACATGTCATTAATCCAATGGTGATAGTGTATATACTGTCAGTATATATATGATTTACTCTTTTTTTAAATACTTGAATACAGCTTAAATTCTTAAAATATTATTTATGTCATCGAGGATTAAATTAGATATCCAAAAGTAGACATATCAATAGGGTAGGGTTTTGGCTGAATCCCTTTTATCTTGATCTAGATCCAAACTTATTAAAGTTAGCTATACCCAAATCCAAATCCAGACCCTTATAGGTATAAAAATTAAACTCAATTCCGAACCCTCATGAATTTGGATATCTAATGGATATTTGTGGATATTTTAAAGCACATACATTGAAGAATTAAAGTAAAAATATATAGAGTTCAAAAATAACATAAATACCACCCAATTTTTGTTTTCAATTGATAAATTTAATATTCAAGACGTGGTAATTTTTTAAAACTAAGAGCATACCCATTAATACAAGAGTCACCAAATCTTGTTATACTCGATCAAATGGTCATAGAATGTTAGGTTATTTTATAATTTATTGATATATACACTTACTATATATAAAGGGAGAGGGAATTGGTGTACATCTTTTTGTATCACTTTATATTTTTTCTAAACTATCTTTGATAATTACCTACTTCCAACTTCTAATATGTATTTCTTATCATTATTTGGTAAATATAAATTTTATTAGCAACTACCAATTATGGTTATGACTTATGACTAAATATTTATTTGTTTATACATTTTATTTTAGTAAATTGTCTACATATTTACTGATAGAACATAAAACTAATTCTATTGAAATTGATTTCAAATATACTCAAAAAAGGCACAATTTTTTTTTTAGTTGCACACACGAATGAAAAGCTATATATAGGTTTGGGTAGGATTTAATTTGAATTTATGTTTTGTCATAGATTATAGAAAATCGGAATCTACCTAAACTCATGACTCTTTTATAGGATTTAGGTTTAGCTAGATTGTAGGTTTGAGAAATTAGACCCGAGTCCTGTCCAAGTATGTTAAGTTTGAGTTACATTTGAATAAAACTTTATCTATTGACATACTTATTCAAAACGTACAAACTACATATATTTTGAATAAGCTAAATTCCTCAAAGGAATTATTGGCTAATTTTAAGTCACTATTTAAACTACACATAAAGACTTTTTTATTTTATTTGCATAGTGCCATCAAAACCTAATTGTATAAACATATGCTTTTTATTTTTTTATTATTATTATCTTTTTTTTTTTTTTTTACATAAGAGACCTTTAAACTAACAAAGTGACAAGGAGAAATGAGAATATGACATTAGAAATCATAGTTCAACTAGCAGACATTTTTGTCAACTTAGACCTATAAATGAGTTTTTTGGTGTTTGATTAAAATTTTACTATAATTTACTGTAAAAATTGTGGAAAAAAATATTTAAGATGTAAAACTTTTTATTTTTATTTTTTTCCCATTTTCTTTCTTTCTTTCTTTCGTTTTCCTTTTCTTTCATCTCATATTCTTCTCCCTTACCTTACAATTCCGACGCCGACAGCTACCACAAACAGCAACAACGATAGGTTTATTTCTTTTTCCTCTCTCCCCTTCCTCTCCCTCTTCCTCTCCTCCCTTCTCTTCCCTCATTATCTTCCTCCTCTCCTCTCTTCTCTTTCTCCCGCCGCTCTCGCCCCTTTCCCCTACCAGATTTGGTAGCATAGGAGGAGGGCAGGAGGGAGGGAAAATAGGAGATGGGGAGAGGGAGAGGGAGAGGGGAGGGGAGGAGGAAAGAGGAGAGAGAGAGGGATGGAGGAGGAAGGGAAAAAAAGAAGAAGAGAGAATATACTTTTGCTGGCCAGATCGTTTGCGCCGAAAGTGGTGGCTGGCGTCGGAAGAGGTGCTAGCTAGTATTGGTCGATGGCGAAGGTGGTGGTGGGTTAAGGTAGGGGAGGAACAAGAAGAAAGGAAAAGAAGGAAAAATTTTTTGTGTGTTTTCGAGTATTTTTTGAAATGTGTATTTTAAAAATTTTGAAAATTTTTTTTAGGTTACCATAATTATATTTTGAGAAGTTTTTGAGATTACTAGTTAAAGTTGTTAAAAAAAGGTATGAGACAAACTTGGCCAAAAACTTATTTGCTAAATAAGCTCTAAAATTGTTAAAAAATTAGTAGAAGAAAACCTAGACAAAAAACTTGCTTTCCAAATAGGCCCTTAGTTTGGGTTTTGTGCGTGTCCTTGTATGAATTTAACAGCAATAAAGTAGCCGCAAATCCGAAGACATCAATGCAAATTCAAATACAAATGTTTTTTAATACATAAATTGCCACAAAAAAATCTAGTACTGTAATTGACAATAAATTTAGTACTGTAATTGCTAATTGGAGTTCCAACATACATACTGCGTATTAAGAGAATCAGAATTTGAAAACAAAAACAGAGCTCAAAAGTCCATATAATGAATTTAAAAAATCAAAGGAAAAATAAAAGAAAATAAAAAGTCAGTATAATTTTCTCCATTTTCATATATGTGAATTATTAAAAGAATCAAAAATTAATTCTCCCAAAAAAGTTTGACATATATAAGATGATTTTCTTTAAAAATTTAATAAAAAATGAAAATGGAAAGAAATGCGAGGGAAGGAGAAGTGTAGAGAAGGTGGCAAATCAAAGCCAAATTCTAGTTGCCAGGGTTTTAGTAAAACCCTAAACAGAAGGATCCTAAATTGGAAGCCTAGGAAAAGTTCCGGCATGTCGTCGGCGTTCGTCCGGAGGGCTCTGAGATCCTACCGCACGCTCTCTCTCCTTCTTCGCACCTCCACTTCCACCTCCATCCAGTCTCGCCACCACTCCTACTTGCCCACTTTCTCCATCTATCTCAGCCGCTTGGCTCCGCCTTCTCCCGTCAATCCTTGCTCTTCCGCTCTAAATTTCCTCCAAGAGACTCGCAGAGGTTATGCCAAAGGAAGGAGACAAACCAGTATTTCTCTCATCCTTTTTTCCTCTTATAAACCCACTTAGACCTGCAACTTATAAAGCTCTCATATGTGCATACATTTAGTGATAATATCTTCATTTGTGTAATTTTGTTCATAATGGAAATTTGATTATAAGTTCTTGGATTTCTGTACTAATTTTGTTTTTGACTTGCTGTAAAATTTTAGAGTTTGATGACGATGATGATGACGACGAGGAGGTGGAGAAGGAAGCAGGGAACATAGCTCAAATCGTAAACATTGGTCCTATGGTCAAGGCTACTGCTGTCTCACAGATGGAGGCTGCAATCGATTCCTTGTCACGGGAATTGTTAAAACTGCGAACGGAAGGGCATCCGCTGGTAAAAGGATTCTGTTATTTCCTAACGTTCATTACACAAATATTTCGAGTAAATTTACTAAGGTACTTACAGGTTTAGTTATTTGCAATTGGATTTGCAGGGATGCTTGACCATATTATTGTTGAAACTGCTGGTGTTAAGATGCCTCTTAACAGGATGGCTGTTGTTTCAGTGATCGATTCAAAAACCCTTTCAGTTACTCCTTATGACCCCAATGTAATACTTAAGTTTCAGCCTTAACTCAAATAAGAGCATGTTTAGTGATGTGCCATCTCTATTTTTTCCTATTTCGTTTTTGCTTTTATAGGTCTGTAACTATTTTTGGGTTGTGGTATCTGAACCTTTTCTGATGTTAGACTGGAATGGGGGGGGAACTTAATCATGCATTTCCTTTCATTATAGGGTCAAAGTCTGAGGATTGAGGTAATATTGTCAAGGTGCAGGCTCGAAAAGTTTTAACTTTTTGTATGGTGCCAATCTGTTGCAGACTTTGAAAGAGTTGGAGAAAGCAATTGTATCATCACCACTGGGTTTAAATCCTAAAGCAGACAACCAAAGATTAATTGCTTCAATTCCTCCGTAAGAATTCTGTTTGTTTCACCCTTGACCAATGAAGCTATTTTCCTAGAATTCATCTAGATCATAATAGTCTCTTCCCATATGACAACTACTTTAAGAAGGTGAAAGTTCATTTTTATCTCACGACACAGAGAGTATATTGTATACTGTCTTCTCAATAAATATCTGATTAACATCTTCTATTTATTGCAATAAGCAGATTGACTAAGGAGCATATGCAGGTGCGTTTCATGTGTCCTCTTTTCCTTTTTGGTTATTTTGATAATTTTTGGTCTTAATATGATCAATCCTACCTTATGCAGGCCGTATGTAAGGTGGTTGCTAAATCATCTGAAGACGTAAAGCAGAGTATAAGAAGAGCCCGCCAGAAGGTACTACTGGTCAACATACTTATCTCCCTCTGCGTAATTGTCAAAAGTTACTGTAGATTGATTGAGCACTAAAGAACTATTTAGTCTTTAATGCTATAAGAGGTGGGGAATGAAAAGGACTCGTACAAGTCTAACACATGCAAAAACTACTATAAAGTTGAGACGTTAAACACATAATTTGCCATTGATGTGAAAATTCAACATGCCAGGAATAAGGGTTTTACCCCGTGGTTGAAGAAAACCCAAACCCGGGGAAATGGGTAGTCAGTCTGGGTGCATGCTCCTCAAGTATGTTGAAAAAATAGGCCTTGGCGTTGCAGCTCATGTGTGTTGTCTATTACAAGGTTATATATGTAGTCATCCACAAATTATGGGATGCTTATTTAATAAACATCAAATTTTTTTTTTATACAGGCATTAGACTCAATTAAGAAGTCCCTGCCAAGAAAGATATCAGACTCGAAAAAGAAGGGGAAGGATAAAGGAGCATCAGAGTCAAAGAAGGACAAAGATAAAGCTGGACCAAGTTTTTCTGAAGATGATGCAAAGCGGTTGGAGAAAGAAGTAAGTTGTGTCCAGAAAACCTCAATTTCTTAAAGCCTTATGATTCTGTTTAACTTTTTCTGCATCCACAGATCGAGGACTTGACTAAAAAGTTTATAAAGTCGGCAGAGGATATCTGCAAGGCTAAGGAGAAGGAAATAACTGGAGGTTAAAGGGTGGCTTTTTGCATTTTCTGTTCATCTATGGTACAAAATAGGTCAAGCGCGTCAATTTGTTTAGTGCACACAACTTCTGTGCATGTTGTGTATTTGACCGCTAAATACGACATGATGAAAAATGACGTACTGCTTTCTGGAGTTTTTTTTGTGCTCCTTAAAATTATTTTTAAAGCAATTCTCAGTTGTAATGTGGTTCGGAGTGTGTTATGTGCCACCAGATATGCATGCCATGATTAGTTTTTGTAGATGGAACCCAAACACATCGAACATTACCTTGTTTGTTTGTTTGTTGTTTCAGATGTTGACAATCAACTTATCAATTAACTAAACCGGAAAGGAAAAGTGAAAATCAAGTAGTTCTCGACTCTCAAATGCGGAGTAAAGCTAAATACGCCTCCACATAAATCTTGAACCGGCCGAAACTCGTAAGATGCTGCTCCCAAAAAAATAAAATAAAATGAAAACCTTGCACGATACATAAGCCGTAGTTTCCTTATTTGTCTCGTTGATAAAATTATACCGCTGCACACGTCCAAAAGACCGTCTCAAGAGTCTTCTTCTTCCCTCGGTCTCTACCTCCGCTGCTACAGTTTACCTCACTTGTGTTTAGGGGTTATCAGACGGTCCAAGGCATTGTAGAAAGCTTGATCCCATCAGCCATGTTTATCAAACACTGACGGCATTGTTAGAAAGCTTGGTGCCATTTTATGTTAAGGGTTGCTAGCAGTACGAGAAGTACCCAACGTCATGGAAGTTTCGTTCGATTGACTCCCTCCAAAATCGCTTTACAGATCAACTATAGCAATCGTATCTTACATGGCAAGGAATACCCAATGGACTTCAAGATGAAGTACCGCGACTAAAGCTTTCTATACAGCAACAGACTATTTTTTGGATGGTCAACTCCTACTTAAAAAAACTAGCCTCTCTTGTCACAAGATTTATTCCTCTCACCCACAGCTCTGCCATTTCAACTCCACCTTCGCACATAAAGTGGTATTCTTTGTTCTCTGTTGTAGTCACCCGAAAGATTCCATGTGCTTCACCATCTCCCTTCTTCCACCTTATTGTTTGAAAGCTTAAACTTGGACCCAAGACTGCCTCACGGCATATGACATTGCGCCTGCTTGACTTACCCCATTGAAATACTCCCGCAGCACGGATCATTTTAACAAATTTTATATGTGGTGCTCCTTTTCCTCCCTTGGTGTGCTTCAGTAATGTGAGCCGCTTAATACCAACTTGAGAGCAAGGTCATCCAGTATCAAGTTCTCAGCATTATTTTTCAGACCTCCGCTCTTCCTTGCAAGTGAAAGTGCGGTTTCACCCTTTGCATTTCTGATATTACTATCCGCTCCACAGGAAATCAAGAGTTCACAAACATGCGCATGGCCTTCCCTTGCTGCCAGCATGAGTGGTGTGTAGCCATTCACATCGGGAGTGTTCACATTGTAACCTCGATTTGTCAACAGCTTTACTGCATCTGAGTTGCCATGTCGAGCTGCAAAGTGCAAGGCATCAAACTCTCCAGCATTGCAATTACCCTTTTCAATGGCAAATTCTAACATCACCCTTTCAAAGTGTTCACGGTTTTGATTCAATTGAGACAGCAGGATAGCAGTCTCTCCACGCTTGTTGCTTAGCTTCACATCAGCTCCAGCATATAAAAGCAGCTGAAAAGCTTCAACATGACCCTCCATGGCAGTAACCATAAGAGCTGAGTAACCTCTATCATCTCGAGTGTCAAGATTAATACCCCCCTGAGCAATCACAGCTTGCAAGGCTTGAACATCTCCAGCCTGAGCTACAAAATTTAAAAGTGAAAAGAGTGATATATTGCTTGACTTGGGGATCTTGCCTTTCCGAATGACTTCCAAGATTGCTTGTTGAAAAGTAAGATACCATTGGTTGGACCTAGCAACTGTAACCACAGATTGACCAGCTAAATTGACCAGTCCGATGTCTGCACCAGCTCTAACCAATACTTTAAGGCATTCTTCCCTCCTGTATTTGGAACACATCATCAATGCCGTCTCACCATTTTTTGTTTTTGAATTCAGATCACACCCTGAGTCAATCAAGCATTGAAGAACCGTCGAGAGTCCTAGGCGTGCAGCAATGTGTATTGGACGAAACTCAGCTTTATTAGTGGTTTCTATGGTGGCTTCTGCATGAGCTCCATACTTCATAAGCATCTTGACTGCCACTGTGTTGCCACAAAGGATGGCATGGTGGAGTAAAGTCCTTCCAAAGTGAGTGGTGCTTGGGGAGATATGTTTAAGTAGCATGTGCAAAATAGCACCACTTACTTCGAAATACTCCACTGCACACCAAATGACAGGATAGGGCTCTGCTAGTCCTGCACCCACACGATATTCTTCTCCGGAGGCAATATCCCATGACCATGCTCCTAGTCGTACTTTGAAATCAGTTCTAGCACCAGCCTTTTTATCCAATTTGGAAGAGCCAGAAAACAAATTGCTCACCAATTAGCAAATTCACTTATTTTAAATTTGCTAATGTAGATGTGGGCAAATGAAAGTGATATTTGACATCTGTATTATCAATGACAATCCAAGAAAAATACCGATATGTTCCCACTAATGTTTGTTTTCCAGTCATCGCATCAGGCGGCTATACAACATATGCCACCCACGGCTTACTAAAAATAAGAGATGGTCCTCAAACACAAGGCAGAATTCGAGATAAAGAAAATAAATCATATAGGGGTAAAAACACTAGACACTTGTCTCGACTGTGTAAACTTGAGCAGCAGTTGTCTACATGTAGCATAAGTTTCTTACCTCAAGTAGAAGACGGACAGCAGAAACCTGTCTACTAACAATCGCAGCCACAAGTGCAGTACAGTCCGCATTGGTATACAGGGATGGTTTACATGATTGGAGCAGCATACGATTACTTGCATTCACATCTACTCCACACTGCCATTGAGCAACAGAAAATACGTAAAGAATTACATATTAAACAACCTGAATGTGAACTGAGAAACTTAGAGCTCCTGATCTTCTCATCGGACATTTTACTGATTCAATGGTATCAATAATTTAACTTGGCTAATAAGTAAATATGGTTTCTGAAAGTTGATTTCTAATCTAATGTACTAAGGACACCATTCACAATTAAACTTAGAATCAGTTCTGCATAGATTTACCTTCATTAAAGAGTTGATCACATCCATGAATCCTCTGCAGCAGGCAGTGACAAGAGCTTGTACAGCTATATGGGGCCGAATCAAGTCAGACGCCATGAGCAGCTCTGCTAGCTTTGAGTGTCCATGACAGCTGGCCTCTAACAGAGCTTCCTCGCAAGCAGATTGAGATGCCCCAGCCTTGAGTAAGATCTCCAAGATCTCGAGGTTGCCCTCCCTCACAGCAGCTGTGGTTGCAAAACCTTTGAAAACTCTCAGGTTGACATCAGCTCCAACACTCTGAGATTCACGGAAAGTGCCAACGAGTACAGTGTGAAAATACCAGGCCAGAAACCTTAACATGCGCGGCATGTCATACATTTTGACTGCAAAGTTCGAAACCCACCCGCCACCCCCCAAAAAAAATCCGGCCTAAGATGACAACATAGGATTGGCCAGGACACGTGAGCCTGTAGGAGCATTCCACAATTTAAGGGGAAACAGGAATGAAGAATGATATTTTGGAAGCTTGAAAGGGGTAAATTCAAGTGCCATAACCGCGATTTGAACAACACGGCGGAAATGTGGAATAGGGTAGCAATGCAGTACATGATCCCGCGAGTATATGTGGTTCGTGATTCGAAAAAGAAAACGGGAAAAGCGACGTACAGGTAAAGATATAAAGCACCATCGCCACCGTTCAAATTTCAAACGCACTGACATTGAAAGCGATATGAAATTACCGACCAAAATTTGAAAGTCAATAACGAAGCAGAGAAAGGAGGTAAGGGCAAATACTTTAAACTAAAACAGAGATCATCCACGAATTACGAACATAAAGCAGTCGTATCTATTATATAAAGCAGTAATGTGAGGGGCAATAACCTGATGCGATTACTACACGTAGGAGCACTTATTTTGTAGAACAGACAAAACTGAGTAGTAGTAGTACTATATTATGTGATAGTGTGCAAATTAATTTACCAGTAGCTTTCTGACGAGAGCAACGTTTCCATTGTGAACGGCGACGAACAACGCGGTAACGTCGGTCCTGAGCTCCTCCAACTCCACTCGAACCTGGTTGGCGACTTGTTCGCCCAATACAACCTCCGTCTTCCGAAGCTTGAGGCAGACAGCGCCGACGTAGTTGACGTCGACCAACGGATCAGAGACGCATTCTAATGCGGATTTCAGATCGTCAACAAGCGAAGCTTGGACGAGTCTCTGCGAGACCTGTGCTTCGTCAGCCACTGGAAAAACCTGTCTTCCGCCTCGAAAACCGCCACCTCCACCTGAGTGACCGAACACCGTCATTTCCGCCGGAGACCCTACTCTCTGGCTTTGCCTCTCTCTCTCTCTCTCTTCGTCTGAGCACTGGAGCAGTACTGTAGTGCTCCTACTTAAATGTTTATTCGCTACTTACAGTACTCTGCTAGTTTCTCTCTCCAGCGAGCCGACTACTAAACAAAGTGGAGTGGTTAGTGGTATAGTACTAAAATGAACAGAATAAAATTGAAAGGAGTGAGCGCCAGGCGCCAGGGGGCTGTTTACTTTTCATTGGGACTAGATTTAACTTTAAACCACATCTCCTGGTCCTATTAGTTAGGGTGCTTAAAAAGTGGAGTTTGATTCTTTTGGACGCCTGGGGTGGGTCGGACCGTCGGAGTGGCGTGATCAAGGGGCTTTCAGTTCTAATAAAGTCGGAGTTTGTTAGGATAACAAAAAAGGTGGTTGGAGGAAAAAAAAAAAAATACTCCTAATAGTCTATTGAAAAATATATTCATAATTTTTTCATGAGACTATCCAAACAAAATTATTATTATTAGTATTATTATTTGTTATAAAAATGTCTTATTGGACAAACTAATAGCCCGCAAATCAAATCCTATCTCATAAAATTCTTAGCAATAAATTTCTATCTATTCTAGACTCCCTCCCTCCTCAACTACACAGATATAATAATAATAATAATTTCTCTTATTGTGACCCTAGTAGTTGATGTCCGAGATCAATTAGGCTCAACTATTATCTGAGTTGCGATGAAATTCTTGATTCAGCTCTCAAATGTTTAATTTCTCCTATTAAATTTTAGTACAAAATATCTCCTTTAAATTGAAAATTCACCGGTTGGGCTAAACCCTTTCTTGTGCAAGAACCTCTAAATGATCTAAGGTTGGGCCCAGTCTTGCTGGATCGGAGACTGTACAGTGTACTAGGGTTGGGTTGGGATAGAAATTTTTAATTCACCGAGCATCCGATACGGCTCCGGTAAGTAAAATTGCATGGGGTTAGAACTAAGGGTGCAATCAAGTCAAGCCGCTTGCAAATAGGTAAAAAGCTCGAGCTCGAGCTAAGTAAAATTGCATGGGTTAGAACTAGGGATGCAATCAAGTCAAGTCGCTCGCGAGTAACTTGCGAGCGGCTTGGTAAAAAGCTTAGCTCGAGCTCGAGCTACTCGTTACAATTAACGAGTCGAGTTCGAACTCCAAAAATAAATAATCGAGTGCTCGACGAGTTTAATCGAGTTTTCATTTTATATTTATATTATATATTTTAAGAAAAAATGTATAGGTTTATTTCAAAACTCGAACTCGAATTCGAGTAGATCGGACTTGATATTTACTTGAGCTTAATCGAGCTCAAACGAATCGAGCTCGAGTTTAATTTTATTTTATCGAGTCGATCTCGAATCCAAATTTATTTACTCGTTCGAACTCGAGTATGGTGCTACTCGAGCTCGATTCGGCTCGATAATACCTCTAGTTAGAACACGGAGAATTTTTGCTAACCAGCATTGTAGCTGGTACTTTTTTTTTTTTTTTTTTTTTGTCAAAAAAAAGGACCTGGCCCCACTTCAGGCCCCAACCCTTATTCGGGTTGTTGGGTAGCTGGTACTTTCTAACATTTTCTTACGAAAGTAAGAAGTCGTTAACTAAGCGGAGTCCTTGAACAATCTTCAAAAGCCGGCAACTCTTGAAGACGTCCAAGGCACTTAACTACCCAACCCATTACCCCCCAGTACCGATGTCGGGTAGCTGGTACTTAGTAGTAGTAGTATATTTCTATCTTTTTGAGAATTTTTGCTGACACGTTTCTGATCTGCAGTCCACCAGTAGCGTGCATTTCTCAGCATGCTATGATTGGAAACTACTACTACTATAAACCAATTATCTCTAAAGCGGTCAGGCCATCAGAAAAGTCTTAACTCTTTAGATGCAATCTCTTCTTGACTTACATTCATCTTTAAAAGGTTTTTCTAAAAGTTTTATCAACGGATGTAAAGACACTCGTTTGATTGGTTCAATGCCTAGGAATAGGAATAGAATAGAAAAACTATCATATAAAAAAAAAAAAAAAAAAAAACTACTACTACTACATCCTAAACGATCAGCAATGCCAGCTGCGCGAGGCTTTGCTTCTATGATAGACAACAACAATTATATTTTAGCGTGAGAGTAAAGAATTTACGAGGTCAAAGAATGATTAACATACGTTACTTGTATGATAAATATACTTTGGAAGTGCGCTAGTAGTTCATGCATATATATTCTTCCAAGTAAAGAGACAACAACAGAGCCCGGCAAATCTCTCCCCTAATAAGTAGTACTATTATGCAACAGGGGTCTGTCTCTCGGCAAAGATTGATGTCTTTGTTTTAGAATGAATAAAATAGTAGTAAGTAATTTTAAAGAAAAACAAGAAGCTCTTTTAGCATAATGAACGTGTTAATTTTGGAAGACTAATAATGATCGGTCATCATTAGAGCTGGAGCATGGAGGACACAAAGAGAAGCAATTCGTAATTAATTTTTTACTCCTCACTATGCTGCAAATAAGGATTTGTGGCGGCAAGCAGTCCAGTATTCTTTCTTTTGCAGCAGTAGTAATAACAACAATGAATGAAAGATGAGATTCAGAAGGATGAACAACAACAACAACGTGCCTGTTGTTGGCAGGTGGCAGCAAGAATCTTGGCAGAGTATCCACAAATCGCTATGGGCATTGGGCATGCAAAGCAAAAGATATGGAGTACATACTAGTGGTATTATTATATGTATTATGTATGCTTCTCCTTTCATGAAAGGTGGTGCAGTGGTCAGAAGAGAAGACTGGTTGAACGAAAGTTGGGAAATGCAAAACGACACATTATTGGCTTTTGTGTTTTGTCCGACAATGAAAGCCAAAGGTAGGGGTAGGAGTTAGGAGCGATTATATCATTAATAACATCTGTCATGTACAGTAAGAAGAGGAATTCAATCCCAAATTTTAGTCATTCGTCCCAGGATTTTGGACCCAATATCTGTGACACAGACAAACTACGACGGCTAGTACTGGAATGGATTCCTAATTCCAACCCCTTCTTACCAAACAACACCTGGAAGTGCTGTGCCCACAGGCAAATGCGGCATGATGTGCCAGAGAAAGTTGAGTGATGGAATTTGGAGTAACTTAACTAAATCGGAGAGGAGCAAGTAAAGTAAAACGCCAACAAGCAACCTGCTACTGCTGCTATTTCCTCCTGTTGTTGTTTTGTTGTTGGATGGTCGAGCAGCTTGGAATCCATCTTCGTTCACCAGTCAACACCAAACCATAATACAGTTTGGACTTTGGAACGTTGGCGTTTCCGAGGGATGGGACAAAATTCCAAACCGCTGCTCCTCTCCTCATGATTCACATATTTCAATACTGACTTGACTCATCCTTGGGAAAACGGGAGACTGTTGTAGTATGACGCTTGTTGAATAAGCTTCGAACCAATGAGCTTAGCTCGGCTACCAATGTAATGTGGGTCTTAAGACCCTGTTTGGACCGATAGGTAAGGCTATAAATTTCACCTGTAATAAAAAAAAATTATAAAAATTGTGTCAAAACACTTTCTTAATCTAGTAAAATTTGTGTACCTATTAGTCATAATATAAAATGTCTTTTCAGGCTCCCCTCGCCTGAAAAAAAAAAAAGAAGCTTTGAACTTACTTTTCTTTTAAAAAAAAAAAATTTTTTACCTACTAATTGCTTTTATTTAATTTTTGCAGGGAAAGGATTCTCAAGTAATCCGATTTGACTGGAACATCTACTCAACGTTAATGCGGCTTTTTTTTTGCTTTTAATGATTTGTGATATATATATATAATAAAAAATATGATTGCAAGTATAAAAAAGTAATTGAAAAATATATTTACGATACAAATACTTTTTTTTTTGTTTTGCAAATAAAATCTGTGTCCGAACAAGTCCGAATCTGGTTTTTTGGCTGCCATAGCTGGGACAATAAAGAGCTCTCTTAGCCAATAAGCCCGGCAATTAACTAGATTTGTCAATTAATTTTGAAGTTTTAAACTTCAAGCCCGGAGGTAATAATAGGAACTGCTGGTAAAATTTAAACGGAACTGCCGCCTTTTAGTTTTAGCCGGGTTGACTTGACGTGGGGCCTACGGCTGCCGCCGGAATGAGCTGAGGAAAAAAGTTAAGCATTTGTCCGCGTCCCAATGTCCTGTTGCTATCCACCAAATTCAAGCGACAATAGCAATTGCTTCTCAGCAACACGTTTATGGATTACTCGCGTTTATGTTGCATTGAATCGGGAACAAGATATTTGTCACCCAGGCCTCCAATAAAGCGAAGTCTTTTTTTTTTGGGTGGGGGTAGACGTATAAAGGGAAGATGGTTGGTAGGAATTAGGATGAAAATTTCAACCACACGAAAAGAAGAAGAAGAAGAAGAAGAAGAAGAAGTTGTTGGTTTTTGCTTGGTGTCGGGAAATTAGTTAGTTGCATTGAGTAGCGGAAGCAAAATTGATACGCTCTTATTTTTACTTTACTTAACGTTCTCGTAACCTCTGTCTTCTTCTCCAAAACTAGACCATACATGTACGTACATACGAGGTATATTGTTGTTTTGCCTTTAAAAACTTCTACTAGTAGTTTCAAGTATGAATCGATGGAGGATTGGGCCAAGTGTTCAGTGTACTCTGCGCTCCCACGTTTTATTCAACAAAGTGGTGCTTTTATTGGGTTGCATTCGCACATCAGGCCCATGTTCGCTAATAGAATTCCATAAGGCCCAAATTCGGCTATCTTCTCCAGTCGGTCTTGGCAGGAGTGACAGGCGAGACGGACAAGAGCAGGAGAGTCAAAAAAAGGAAGAGATGGCTTCTTCTGCTCCCAAAGAAAAAGATAAATCAAGTTCCTCTCTCTCTCTTCTTCTTCTTCTTCTTCATTACTGTTACCATTTCTTTTTCTTGGCAATCCGTATTTCACCAGTAGAAAGCTGGAATTGTTTTATTTACCTCAAGGAAATGATTATTAGAATTTCAACTGTTCAGGTACTTGTACCAAAAAAAGTGTTGCAGTTGTCGGTGCTGGAGTTAGGTAAGTCCAAATTGCGTTTTGCATTTCCCATTCTGCTGAAATTTGTTACTTCTTGACATTCTTGAATTCTAAAGGCTATTCTTCGGTCTGACTGGAGCTGGATAGCAATGTGCCTGCCTGCTGCTTCCAATTTGTAAAGGGCACCCTGTATATAACCAAGTTGTGGACACTTTTGCCGTGCCTGCGCCTGAATATTTTGCTTTTCCATATCTTCGATAATTCTTGATTAAAGAATATGTACCTAAATGTTGGTCAATTTTCTTCTTCTACTAAACTCTCCGTCTCCGCTACCTCATCTCTTGATATCTCATTTTTCCGCTAATATAATGTTTCTTATGTCTTTTTTTTTTTCACAATTCATTTAGGATTTAATGGATCACGCTCTTCGTACCTCACTTTAAAATTTTTCATTTTCAATTTTTTCAACTGTTCAAGCGGGCTTGCTGCTGCATACAAGTTAAAACTACGTGGTTTGAATGTAACGGTGTTTGAAGCTGATGAAAGAGCTGGAGGGAAGTTGAAAAGTGTTTCCCGAGATGGTTTAATATGGGATGAGGGGGCAAATACCATGGTACTACTTTAATTTCTGATTGCAACCTAGACTGTTATATTTGAGCAAACTCTTGTTACATTATCCTCAGTTCAGTCGAAACAATGTGACCTCTTTGTTTTTCACATAAGAGATACTAGTAAGTTTTACCTTTTGCAGACTGAAAGTGATGCAGAGGTGGGATTTTTGCTTGATAACCTCGGACTAAGAGACAAGCAACAATATGTAAGGGGATTCTTCTTTCGTCTGTCGGTCTTAAGTTAAGTGTCTTTCTGCTACGGGGTGCTGAGTTTTTTCTTCTTCATTTTTTTTCCCTGTTTTGGGTTATCCACAATCATGCATTAATTTAATAGGGATGCAGCCTGTTACTCGGGCTCTGAGCTTTTGCATTTGTTCAAGATTGTATTCATGTCTTATGGCTTAGATACAAAATCTAATTGCTAAGATGGTATTCGTTTTACAGCCAATTTCACAAACCAAGCGCTATATTGCAAGAAATGCAACACCTATACTGGTACGATTGCTTTGCAGCATCTATACATGGCCATTCTGGTTTTTATAGCCTAGTTATCCCGGTATTTTGTTCTTATGCTCATATTCCTTGACTGCATAAGCATTAGTTCTCATAAACAATCTCCCCTTTCAGATACCTTCAAATCCTCTTGCACTTATTGGAAGCAGTTTTCTTTCTGCACAATCTAAGGTACATCCATTGTGTTTGACCTGTTCAGTTCATCTAGGCAATGCGTCTCGTGCCATTCTTATGCCTGTGCTGAGTATATGTCAAAGAGACACACTTCGTGTGTTCCTACTGTAATGGTCTTTTTTTTTTTTTAATAATGGTCATATTTTTAGTTCCATTTCCTTTAACATTTGCTCCTCACATGTTCAATATTGAGACGAAGACCTTTGTATCTCAACTGAATCTTCATACTCTCTGCAGTTTTACCTTTTGAGGTTGGTGAATGGGGATTTGTATGATTTCAAACTGCATTAATGTGGTTATGTTATTTGCAGCTTCAAATACTTTTTGAGCCATTTCTGTGGAAGAAGAACCCATCTAAGTTTTCTGAAGAACAAGAAAGGTTCCTTGACTTTTTCATGATGTTTACTGTATACTTTTGCTTTTACGTGATGTTCTCTTTTTCAAATGTAAGTTCCATTCAGCAGCTCATGCTTGCAACATATGCTTAGACCATGCTGTATTTATTCTTTAAGGAAAACTTGAAGGTGGTATATATATTTTTAGTGGGTGTTTATGGAGCTCAACACTAAACAGGTGCTGGTTTTGCACATTAATTGTTTGCTTCTTTTTTTTTAAGGTGTCAGCAATTACATAACCACAGTTGTTGCTGGCCTTGCCTTCTCATTTTGAACTTGCTGCTGTTCTTTTATCTAATAGGAAGATTGTGATATAACATGGTTTTAACATGTTGACATGCTAAATAATCTTTTTTTTTTGTTTTAATCATTTTTTCCCCTGCTGAAGTGTGGTGGATTCTTCGAACGCCATTTTGGGAAAGAGGTTTGTCCCTCCTTACTTTGATATGTTGTTTCTTTTTTGCGGTTCACTTGTATGTAGAAGTTCTAGCTAGTAACTGTAGTTATTACATGCAAGAAGTCTAATTAATTTTCTTCTTGAGCTATAAAGGTGAATACATTTTGATTTTCTTTTGTTTTTACCCAAAAGGTTGTTGAGTATCTCATTGATCCTTTTGTTGCGGGGACAAGTGGCGGAGATCCAGATTCACTTTCTGTGAGTATCAGAGGGGACTTCTTATGTGATTACAACCTTGTACCAGCATGTAGTTATATATTAATTATTTTATAAATGCAACTGCTCTTATTTGTTGTTCTTTGCAAACAGATACGGTATTCATTTCCTGACTTATGGAGTCTAGAGAAAAGGTACACCTGATGCAACTAACTTTTTTCTGCTTGTAACTCTCTATTTGGTTGCCTTGTGCTTCCATGGCTATATTATCAAGATCAGAATTTCTGGTAATGACTACAGCTGAGATTCAAAAGAATTTTCTTAAGCAATTTTGCTTCTGCTTGCTAATTAACAATAAGAGATTGTCTCCTTCAGGTTTGGCTCTGTTATATATGGGGCAATTCAATCTAAACTATCTGCCAAACGTGAAAATAAAGGAGGAACAAGAAGCTCTCCAGCAAACAAAAGGCGACAGCGTGGGTCTTTTTCATTTCTGGGCGGAATGCAGGTAAAGCAATACACAGTGCTTTCAGATCCAGATCAGATGTGCAGGTTGGACTGTAAATGTTCTTCCAGCTAAAATCCAAAAATGGGTAGGAATTTTTGAAGCCAGATGAGATCAGTTAAAAGCCAGGAACCATGGACCATGATTGAACCAGAGAACTTAAATTTTCATTTGTGTTTAGTTTTTAACCTTGTTCAAGTTGGATTCATAGGTTTTCTCTTTTTAATTTAAAATTTGGCACCTTATAGGAAATAGGAGCCATATACCATTTCGTAATTTATAATTACTACTATCCTGTGATTTCCCATTTGTGTTCCTTGCTAACTTTGCACCCCTTGTATGATCTGCCTTTTGTGTTTCTTGCTGTATTCTTACTTAAACTGGCATTGCATCTGGTAAGATTTTGTTCTCTACATACTGGTTTGTCTGTCTCATCTTCTTTTCCCTTCCTTAGTTGCCCTATTTGGAAACCTGCTCCTTGATTTATTTTTGTCTTGTCCCATGAGACTCTTAGTGGGTGTTCCTAGATGAAATCAACAGTGAACTTTTTGATTAAACAGCTTATAGGGCTAAATATTGTGATTTTTTGAGTGTAAATGGCAATCTCCTTTTTATGCTATGGTCCCAGTTATTATGCAGCACAGTCTTTTTTCAACCCTTTTTTGTTTGTCAGACTCTTACAAACGCACTATGCAAAGAGCTTGGTGAAAAGGATCTTAAACTTCGACATGAGGTGCTGGAACTGTCATGCAGTAGCCGCAGCAAGAGCTCGTTGTTGGATAGTTGGTCAGTTTCTTATGCATCACAGCACAAAAAAATGTCAGAGGAAAAATCTTTTGATGCTGTGATTGTTACTGTGAGTACATGCGTGTCAAAATCTCCCTTTTAGACAACTTAATTAGTCTTCCAACTTAGGATGTATATTAACAATATGTTTATTGTCGTTTCACTTGATTTTGCCCTTCATATACTTTACAGAACAAATGGTATTGTGATGCATGGTCTTTTCAGTTATTGTTACTTTTAGATTATTTTAAACAACTTCAAATGTTTTCGAATTTAAGAACTATTTTCTTGGTTGTAGCATGGATTTCGTACTTGAGTTCATTCTTATGCAATAAAGAGCTAAGAGTTATGTCAATGCTAACTGTGTTATCCCTACATTGATAGCGTAGTGGATGTGTGTGTCTGATGAGAAGTGACCAACTCAACTGTCCTGGGAGCATTTGATTCCTATTCGCTGGTCAAACTTAAGACCTACTGATCCTAGGACCTCAGTTCTCAGCTTATGAGTTAATAGTCTTTTTTCCTGCACATTCTATCCTAAATGGACATCTTGGAATCATATCAAGTTTCTCATCATTATAAGAGTCAAAGACTTTTCCAATAGACTTAGGACTGGATTGCCCTCTGAACCTAGCATTGGGTGAGAAACAATCTCTTGCACAACAATCGCACTCATTCACAAATGCTTTGATGTCAAGTTTCGCCACCCTCAGGTGTCTGTCAGTTTCCTTTCTCGAGGGAAAGAAGTTTTTATCCAGTTTGGAATGAATCATAAAGCATTTTTATCCAATGAACTTTCTGTGTCAGGCCCCGCTCAACAACTTGAAAGATATGAAGATCACCAAAGGAGGAAAACCATTTCGGCTTGACTTTATTCCTGAGGTATGTTTGTCTGGCTTGAGATATGCAATTTGACCTAAAATACTGTTGAAGCTGGAAATCTTAAATTTGATGTTAGCTGCTGATGTTGCATATTTAGACGACAACAATGTGGGCATTTTTTGTGATGACATATTTGAAGCAGTAAGCATATAAGTAATTTGTGAATGTTGAAAACGTATTCCATTTGTTGGAGAGGACAAAATGAACAGATTCCCATAAATTTATTTGCATCTGGCTGTTATGAATGCAACTTCCATATAATATGAAAATCACTTACCAATGACCTATAGGCTTCATTCCATGCCTGCTACCAGTTTTTTGTTGATTGCATAACTGCGTCTTCGATTTCCAATTAAAAAGGAACATTCTTCTTTTCCATGTCGGCATACAGGTTACATATTTGCCAGTATCTGTTGTAATCACCACTTTCAACAAAAAGAATGTCAGGCGACCCCTTGAGGGTTTTGGAGTTCTTGTACCTTCCAAAGAGCAGCAAAATGGTTTGAAAACACTGGGTAATGCTATCAGCATTGTTTCATGAGATTTGTAACCAAAGTCGCAATTGTCATTTGTTGAGAATGAGGCTTCTACATGTAGGTACACTTTTTTCTTCGATGATGTTTCCAGACCGTGCACCAAATGACACATATCTTTATACTACCTTTGTTGGTGGGAGCCGAAATAAGGAATTAGCAAAAGCTACCAGGTTCGAACACTTTATTACTTTTATTTTCTTGGGCTGCTGTATCCTTAATATGCTTTCATTACTCGTACTCTTATATTCACCTTTGAAGTGACTAGCCTTTCTTGATGTCGCTGTTGTCTCAGGGATGAGTTGAAGGACATAGTGACATCTGACCTTAGACAGTTGTTGGGTGCAGAAGGACAGCCAACATTTATGAAGTATGTGGTAAAATTAATCATATTGTTGTTAAGATGGAGTACCTGATAATATTGGTCATATTATTGTTAAGACTGTTTCACCTATTTAGCTACTTTTTCCAATTAAGAATGTTAAAAGAAGCCGTCATACTAAATGCATTTTGAGGGCGTGCGCTAAATTGCAGTCACTTCTACTGGAGTGCCGCATTTCCACTTTATGGGAGGAACTATAAAACAGTCATAGAAGCAATTGACAAGTTAGAAAAAGATCTGCCAGGATTTTTCTACGCAGGTAAGCTCTTGATGTCTTGATAGACTTATTGTCTACTTTGGCTTTTTCATGGTTTCTATTGACATCTACTAATCATAAGGCAGAAAAGTGGGTGCCCTTAATCCTGTCTATATTGATAAAGCAAGCACAGGCCTGATCATGAAAAAACATTCAAATACCCTCAATTGCAGTCAATCATTCGCCTTCACCCTTGAAATTGATCTTAATGAGAATTCTATTTGGTTCTCATTTTAGGGTTTGTTAGATATACAATGATCAATTACCAAGTAAAATTTCTGCATGGATGAACAGTTCCTATTCTTTTAATGCAATTAAGATTTAGTGATTCACACACGCGCACACAGAAAATTGTAATGATGCGAGCCATGGAACTGCTGCCAGGTAACCACAAGGAAGGATTGGCTGTTGGTAGAGCTATATCTTCAGGATGCAAAGCAGCTGATCTCGTAATCTCATATCTGAATTCTTCATTGCATGTTAAGGAAAGCTCTGATTGAAGATGTTGGAGAGGTATGTGGGTTGGAGTTTCAAGCGCTGCTGCTGCAATTATTTCTGCTCTTCTTTTCTCCTTCAATATGCCCTCCTTCAAAGGCTGGAAAGTGGCAACTGATTTGTCTTATGTAATTTGTACAAGGAAAAGAAAAAAGTTTCTTGTAGCTACAACTACGATACAGGTGAACAGAGCGTTCGTTCGTTTAGTACTACTTCCTTGTCAAGTTTCAAAAACCCACCTTTCCCTCGACTGAAAAATCATGGCATGCGGAACCTTACGGAAAAATCCAAACCCGAAGGTTAATTAGGGCCCGCCATGTCCCTCCTCCTAGTAGTAGTAGATTGGCTCGTAGTCCGTATGATACAAAGACGGGTACAATACGATTATGATATTATATTTAGATATAATCAATATTGTATGACATCTTTTTGAAAAAAATTAAGTTCATGCAAAAATTACATATATAAATTCAGAAATTGATATTCGCACCCCTATTTTAGCCTCTGACACTCTAACTTACTCAATAAATAATATGCCTCTAAAGAGTGTTAGACGCTAATCTAGGAGTACAAATATCACTTTTCATGGATTCATACATATGATGCAAATACATTTGAAAGTCATAAAACTAAAAATATAGTTAAAATTACTATATTTTTTTAAAAAATTGTGTTATAATTATACGAGTTTTAATTCTTATTCTTGGACCTAATTCGATGAGCTAAACCATTAAGTTTTGCTAGAATGGTTAAGAGTAGAGCAATGTTTTAAAAACCGGACCGTTCATTGAACCGGTGAAGTGAAAGGGTCGAGGTTCAACCGATCGGACCGGTTCAACCTCGGTTCAATGAATTTTTTAAAAAATTATTTATATAAATATATATATGTACAAAATAAGACATGTAATGGATTAATTTAATACTTTATATGATGAAAGGTTTACTATTTTTTAATAACTTGGATTTTTAAAAATAAATTTTTTAAATTATAAGTTAAAACAAATAAATTTCATCTCAATTTCAATTATATCTAAATCCAACCAAAAATATCACAATATTTTGAAATTATACAAAATTCACGTCTATGAGAAATTAGATATTGTGAACTTAAATTTTAATTTACATTTTAGAGATTGCAATTTAAAAAAGGAAGTTTGGAGTTCGAAGGAAGTCAAGAAAATCGAAAATAGAAATGTAAACTTGATAAGAAACAAAAAATGAGATAAAAGTGAGTGGTTGTAGCATTAAATAATTTGGGTTAAAAAAATAATTCTTTTTGAACTTTTTTCAATTTAATAGACAAAAACAAAATTAAAAGATGGAAGAAAACATCAATAAATTAAAAATAAAGAGGTTTGATTAAAAAGAGAGTGACAAAAAAAAAGAGGATAGAGAGAGAGAGAGAGAGTTGAAAATTAAAAAGAAAGAGCCATGAGAGGATGAGATTTTGTAAGAAAAATGGAAAAAAGAAATATGAGTGTTTGCTTTATATAAATAAGTTATCAAAAAAAACTAATAGGATGTGATGGTGCAACGGTTAATACATTGGTCTTCTATTACAAAGGTCTTGAGTTCGAATCTTGATAGCTGCATTTTGCACAAAAAAAAAAAAAAAAAAAAGAGGAAGGTTGAAAACCGGTTCAATAGCGGTTCGATCGCGGTTTTTACGGTTCGACCGGTTCTTGACCGATTTTCGGACAAAGTCAACTATGGCATTGAACCGGACCGGTGCCATGGCCGGTTCGCGGTTCAACCGGTCGAACCGGCCGGTCCGGTCCGGTTTTCAAAACATTGGAGTAGAGGTGTCACAATAGGTGACTTGGGTGGGTTTGGGTTGGGTAAAATGGATAATAAATTGGGTAATCCAATTATCCATTTATAATTCATTTATTTTAATTTTTTGTAAACTCATTTAAATTTATTTTTCCAAACTAAGTTATCAATTTATACCGCTCTTTGTATCCATCATTAGTTTCAAATATTTATTTATAATGCTCAATAAATCTAATTACCATTTTTTTTCCATTTATACTCTATGTCACAAAATTACATATTATTTAATAATTGAATAATAAGAATATAAAATTTTGAATTAAGTACTATAAAAGTTAATATAAAAACTTAATCCAAAAATTTTGAATCCCTAATATTTTTTTATATATAAATTTAAATTTTCATTTTATAAAGATAAGAAAAGAGGTTAAAACTTATCATAAATTGGTAATACTGAAAAATGAGCAAGTTAACAAATTAAGAGAAAATAAAATAATAAAATAAAACCAACAAATAATAATAATAATAATAAAAGAAAAGTAGTTAATATCATGACAAAATGAAAAATCTAAAAAAAAAATGGGTGGGGGAAGAGAAGAGAATTCTAAATGGATTAATTAGGTTTGATGGGTTACCCAATATTATTAAATGGGTATTATTGGGTAACTCATTTACACTCATATATAAAAATTTAAAATATCCATACACATCTATTCATGAGCGGGTATGGATAAATTTAGTTAAGTGGGTTGGTTTGCTACCTATAGTTAGGAGGAGAGCTTTTAGAGTATTACTTGTGTAAAAAATTTAACTTGATATGGATCTGGACGGCTATTTAGTAAGTGCAGTAATTATTTTGAACAATTTGATACCATTAATTAATAGGACAAGAAGCCCCATCGAATTAATAGGTTCGTCATTTGGAATCAGATACTGCTAGGCTTGCAAAGTAATTAATTTAAGCCAAGATAAAATTTCTCCTCACCATTTTTTTAAAACTTTTTTTATTATCAACCAGTCCCGTTAAGTTGGGAGTTCAAATTCCGTCGGGTGTTTACAAAAGAAGCAGAGTCGTATTTTCCTTTCTTTAAAAAAAAAAAAAAAAAAAAATCTAGAGAACGCGATTGATTATGTGTCGACGGAGGTGAGTTCTCTCACTTCAACCTTCACATGGTACACGTGGAACTTTCTCCTCCTCCGATGATGGAAGAGTGAGTAGATTGGCACCGTCGCTCTTTATGGGTCGTCCAGACGAATGTTTTGCCCCTTTCTCAAAGCAGAAGAAGAGTAGATATTTTTTTGAAAAAAAAAAAAGGGAAAAAGGAAGAGTAGATTAGATTAGCATGCTGCTTTTTGCTTAAAGAAGAAAAGAGGGAGAGATTCTGGGGGAGTTAATGAGTCGGTCATATTTGCTCTTTTATCAGCCACACTTTTCTTTGTTTGGAGTGAACGAACTCCCGTTACCCAGCCTTAATTTGGACTCCCGAACGTTGATCCTTGTTTGACCCTCCAAAAAATATTAATAATAAAATTCGACAAACAACGTCCTTATAGGTTGTCATCGCACGCACCACGATTGCGACTAGGAAATCCAGTTGAGTTTCATCGGATTCGGCATTTCCTTTCAGGAATCATGCTAGAACAGGCTGTACGGCGGGCAATGTGCAAGTTGCGGCCCCTCAAAAGATTTAGAGCCCAATTCCCAATTTTGATATTTTCCAAACTTAGCAGCGAACTTGTTGGGCGTTTCCTTTTTTCATTGAACTGCAATACCATCGGCTTCATATCCATAGGCGACGCCTCAAGCTCAAAGGATTGTTTACTGCTGCTGCTGCACTAATTTGATTGCTTCAAAACCAACTCTCCTTTGGGAAGTTTGGCCACCAAATGATACATGAGGTATAGGTCTAATCGTAGATTAGGGGTTCACCTGTACTAAAATTCAAAGGATGTGCAGTAGTGTATTTCTTTGATTTAGAGATAGAACTACTTATTTTAAAATCTCTTAATCCAATTGGATTTCCCCTATATAGGTTAGTTTAAAAAGAGTATACGAGTAGTGTAGAAATCGATAATTGTCAAAAAAAAGAGAGAGAGATTGGTTCAAATTTTCGTTAGTCAGGAGGATAGCGTAAACTTGATTTTGACGGAGCAGTGATGGTGAAGGTGTTATTAATGGAAATGATTGTGGTTCCTGGGGATTTGATTTTTGCAAATACTGATCGTGATACAAGTCTAGTGGACTAATTTTGGACACTCTTGGAAGGAGCTGCAGTAATTCCAAAAATATTTCTATAAAGTTTGAGTAAAGTTAGATTCTAAGGTGTATTGTTACATTTGGTTCACCATACTACAAAGAGACATTGTCCATTTTAATTTTAATCTATCTAGTATGTAAAGTCCGACACATCTTGAGTGGGATTGGGTGTGAGAATTGCCATTTAAAAAAAAAAAAACTCGGAAGACAACCTTGTATTAATGTATGTTTTATCAGATTGCAAGTAAAAAATTACAATAGCTCTTTAGTCGTTGTCATGTAATTACTTATTTTATGTGTCATGTAATTACTTATTTTACAAGAGAGAAGTGCGCTATATTTTTTGTTATATATATATTTTTATTTATTTATTTACATTTCAGTCGTACTTTCTCTTATTTACTCATCTTTCCTTCACAATATAAAATCTTCAAACCATTCAATGATCATTTATTTTCAAGTACTCCATACACCGAAAAGACTTGAGCTGCTGGGCCACACATGTTTCACTACTACTAAAATTTTCATCTACTAATAGTCTTTCGTTTTAACCATCAGCCTTAAGCTGGTGGCCACCACCAAGCCTTTAAGGCTTTGGTGGGTGTGGGAGACAAGGTTGGTTTGCCTCCCACTAATTTGTCACAATTGTGGTTCTTAAAAAGAATTCAGACTGTTCTGATGGTGGTTCTGTCCCTATCGATCCCTTATAGGTCCAGTTGAGTTTTTTCGTAATTAGATTAACATAGAGTAGGAGTAGAAGTAGGGATGACGAAAAAAATAATCTTTCGTCTTGTTTGTTTATTTTATTTTTTAAATAAAATGTACAGACCTCGACAAAGGTGGGAAAGAGTGGTCAAATCTTGAAACATTGGGACAAGGGTGGCTTTAACATTACAGCATGCTTTGCTATAATATCCTACTTCATCAAATTAAGAAAATTTGCTTTGGCAGATGGGGGATACTTAGGACAAATTAAACGTGCCAATCATTTGGGTAATGATTCCCCCCATCGAAAATCAATCAAATCTTAAGTTTGGAACTCCAATTCTGTCCCCACCTTAATGCCCAACCAGATAATGCGGCTCACTTAAAAGGGCATCCGTCTCTAGCACCATTGCCATTCCCACAATTTGCCACCCCCACGCCCCATATTTTAAAGACTCTTTCACACACACACACACACACAGAGCCAGGGCGACGGCCAGTGGGTAGCACAGTCCAGTCCACGGCCACAGTCTCCTAGTCCTTTGCCAGAAGGAAACAACACCACCCCCAAATTGATTTATTTATGCCAATGGCACAAAGCCGTCTTCTTTCTTCTTCTTGGTCTTCCCTCTTCCATCCATCTTAAATGCACGAAGCTTTTAATGCCCCTTCA